GACATTGCCTATTTGAATTATGCAATTACAAGAAAAAAGCATCCTATAAACATTAATGGACATGATTCCATTTCTACATTTTCACAAAGCTCTAATGGGCAAAAGACAAATATTTAGTTCTACAATACATTACAATAGCAGTTAAAACAAATGCAAAAAAAAAAAAAAAAAAAAAAAAAAAAAAAAAAAAAAAAAAAAAAAAAAAAAAATACATACAATAGCAGCTTAAAACAAATGCAAAAAAAAAAAAAAAAAAAAAAAAAAAAAAAAAAAAAATAAAAAAAATAAAAAAAAACGAAAAAAAACTAAAAAAAAAAAAAAAAAAAAAAAAAAAAAAAAAAAAAAAAAAAAAAACGAAAAAAACTAACACAAACCACAAAAATTACTTTGCTCTTGCTCCCCTATAAGAATTATACATCTCATTTGCTAAATTCATTTGCATAGCATCCAAACATTAGATGGTCCAATCAAGGTTACTCCATCATCGTTAGTGTTATTATCATATAAATTTGAATTTCTTCAAGCAATTCTTCCTCCATTGAGTTAACTTGTTAATTACTAACGTTAATTAATTAGAGAATTAAAAAATTTTCATCATTGAGCATAATGGATAAAAAACTGCGCGTTAACAGTTTGTTCCACTTTGATAATATTTATGAGATAAATATTGTCAAAATAATAAACACAAGAAAATTTCAAATGTCACTTTGGGTAAATTCAAAATTAAGAGCCTTGCTGGCTCAAAAGTATAAAATTTGAGTACTTTTCTAGCAAATCTGATTCAAAATGTCTTTTTAGCAAAGAAAAATTCATGATTCGAATTGTCTTTCTAGCAAGACGAAATATCACGTGCTTTTTTGATAAAAATTCTCAATTCAGATACATTTCTAGCAAATTTGGTCCAAAGTCCCTTTTAACAAAACATGCCTTTCTAGTAAAAAAAAAAAAAAAAATTCACGTTTCAAATTATCTTTCTGTTCAGATGAAATATGACGTGCCTTTTTGGCAAGAATACTTGATGCGGATACCTTTTTGGCAAATCCGATCGAATTGCTTTCTGGCAAAATGAAATATCACGTGCCTTTCTAGCAAAACACAATTTTGTCTAGAAAAATTCACGATTCACAAAAACACAATTTAAATGTCTTTCTGTACCTAATTAGATACCACTCATGTGCCTATATATGTGTGGCTTCTTATCAGTAAAGATCACTCTCACATTTTTCTCTTTATTTCTTTTCTTTATTCTCTCTAGTTTTATATTATTTTATGACGGTTTGGGGATATTTTTCACAATTCTAATGTTTTCCATTCTAATTCCTACTTTTATATACGTTAATAGATTATAGATAAAAAATAATGAATATAAAAGATTTATTACAAGAAAATAAAAAATCTTAATTTAGTTTTATTTTTCAATTTTCAATTATAATTGAATGATACTACCTCTCATTTTTACCACTTGGACATAAAGATGGCAATTTAACCCGACTCTACTCGATCTGATTTTTGGTGGTTTGGGTTTGGGACAGATTTGGAACAGATTAGGGTAGTGATATTAGAACCCGCATCGGGTTCGGATCGAATTTGGATTCAAAAGGTCGGATAATGGGTATTGATAGTAACGGGGTTTGGGTACCCACCTCGTTACCCGTTTGATTTAAAGCAAAAATTTTATGATGATTAGCAAAATCAAACCCATGGCCTATATATAACACTTAAACTATTTTACCACCAAGTTACTTAACATCCTTGTATAAGAAATATACATTACTTGTATAAGAAATATATATTACTTGTAACTATAGTTATTTATACTTTAAATATTTATTAATGAATAAAATATTATTGGATTGTAAAGTAATCTTGTTCATAAGTAAGTTTTAATAAAATTATGTACATTAAATTAAAATATCTTCATAATTTGAATTTATCTTTCTTCATAAAATATATTACCTCGGTTACCCCCGTTTGATTTAAAGCAAATAATTTTAATGATTGATTAGGCAAAATCCAACCCCATGCCTATAATAACACTTAAACTATTTTACCACCAAGTGTACCTTAACATCGGCTGTGACATATAAGGAAAAATATAAATAACAAATTAACTTATAGAGAAAATATATATTACTTGTAACTATAAGTTATTTTATACTTTAAATATTTATTAATAGAAATAAAATATTAGATTGTAATTGTAAAGTAATCTTGTTCATAAGTAATTTTAATTAAAATTATGTACATTAAATTAAAAATTAATCGTTAAATAGATTTGAAATTATTATACTTTCTTATCAAATTATGATCATTATTAAACTAGACATAAGTAAATATAAAGGTGTTATAATTTTGTTTTTCATTATTCTATATATTATATATATTAGAATAAATTAGTAGAAAATATTTTAGATAATAATATGAGTAAATAATATAAAATATGAAAATAAAATATAAAATATATAATTGAATAAATATATATATATTAATAATATATATATATTATATAAACAAAATTATATATATAATATTCATGTCTTAGTAATTTAATTGAATTTTTTATAGTTTGGTAATTACGAAATTTATTAAAAATAAAAAGTTATTAATTGAATATAATGCTAATAATCTTATAATTAAAATTTTTTAAAACTACTTATCAACATCACTAGTGGACTTTTAATAATAATTATAATTAGATCTTAATTAAAAATATGACTCATGTTGAATGTGAAATTTACATATATTTTTAGCAAATTAGAATACGATTCGTATAACATATTACCAGTGAACTTATAAACATAATTATAATTGGATCTTAATTAAATGTCTTTTTATTTTTTTATCAGTAACATTATATTTATTAGTATAATTATACCTAGAAGTTTAGTGTATATAGATTAAAGATTACAACAACCATAATTAAATATAACCTAGTAAGTATATTCTCTAATAAAAAAATATTAAATTTAATACTTTATCTAATATTATCGTTATTACAATTACTATAATATTGACGTATAATTATAGCCTTTTAATTTTTTTTAAAGGGAATTATAACCTTTTAATTAGTAGCTATAATAATAATAGTAATTATAAATATTTTACCATTTCGATGCACGAGGATTAAATGAAACCACAAAAAAAACTACGTCGTTTTAGCCTACGGTTGCATTTTAATAATACAAACAAAAAGTTCTCTCAAATCTAAACTCAAAGTCAAGCTTTCTCCTCCCTCCCTGTCCCTGCACCGCAGGGGTGCCCAAAATCCGGTGTTTTGAACCAGAACCATCGGTTTCGAACGGTGGGAACCGGTTCGATTTTGGTTCCATTAGTTTTGGAACTGTGAACCGGCGGTTCTAGCTCCAGTCGGAATCGACGGTTCTAGTTCCATCTGAAACCGGTTGAAACCGTCCAAAATCGGCCAGAATCGGTCTGAAACCGTCGAAAAACCGGCCGGAACCGTCGATTTTGGAACCATTGAGGAAACGGAACCATTCGGTTCCAAACCGTTAGTTTTCGGTTCGGTTCCGGTTCCAAAAAATTTGAAACCGAAACCGGCGGTTCTAGAACCGTGGCCACCCCTACTGCGCCGTTCATTCTCTCATTCTACTGTCAGTCTTTCTTTATACCCTCCCGTCGCTTTCTTTCTTGACCGTCGCCTCCGCAACAGTCGTGCTCTTCAAGCGTACAAGAGCCAGGTTCGTTCTTGATTATTTTTATTTCGTTCTCTTTTTTTTTTTTTTTTTCTCTTTTTTTTTTTTTTTTTTTCGTTTTGCTTCGTCCCTTTTCCTTTTTCTTTTTTTTTTCTTTTATATAAATACATATAAACCGACAAAGCGGTGGAATTGTTGAATTAATTTGTGGGTTCAGCCGAGAGATATATGTTTTATTTTTTTCGTTTCTGGGTTTTGTGCATGTTTTATTTGTTGAAAATATATATATTAAAAGGCAAAAGGATGGTGAATATAAGCCAATTCGTGGCTATATGAGTGAAATTTGACATGTTTGGTTTGTTAATCTAAAGTTTGATTTGTTAATAATGATTAAGATGATTAAGATTGTGCTGAGATACTGAGAATGGATTATTTGCATATGATGTGTCATATACCGAGAATGGTGGGCCTGAATTTTTTTTTTATTTTTTTGAAGAGGATATATATGAGTGAAATTTGACATGTTTGGTTTGTTAATCTAAAGTTTGATTTGTTAATAATGATTAAGATTGTGCTGAGATACTGAGAATGAGATTATTTGCATATGATTGTCATATACCGAGAATGGTGGGCTGAATTTTTTTTTTATTTTTTGAGAAGGATATAGGGTTGACTTGGATAGTGGAGTTCTTTTTCTTATTTATTTTTCAGATTCTTGTTCATGCGGGTAGTCGAGTGTTTTTTGTGCGGAATTCTTGAAAAAGCGGAGTTCAAGAATTATGTTTATGTAAAAGATCTTGTGTTTTTATTATAGTGTTGTTCTGTTTTAATGTACTTTTTAATTCAGTAATTTTTTATTGAAATACTTTTTATATATGTTCTATATGGATATAGTTCTTATTCTATGATAATTTGTTATAATTTAGGATTATTATATTTTAATTGATTTTTAGCTTGTTATTGTTATTATTCTTATTGAATTTTAATAGATGTTTGATTGTTAAATTGTTTACTTGAGATATTGGTTTGAATTAATTATTTAAGTTGAATTTCAATTCTTTTGTTGTATTTTAACTATGTACTGTTGTTTTAGAATATTACAGGTTGAATTGTTTTATTATTTGAAGTTGAATTTTAATGCATTTTTTATATATTTTTTTGTTGCACTTTGAGTTCGGATCCGGGTTTCACGCGGGTTCAGGTTCTCTGGATTGAATAAATTTAAATGGATTTGGATAATACGCGGGTAATTCTAAATGATTTGGGACGGGTTTGGGCATTATTGGTTTATTCTTTTAACATATTCGGGAACTTAAAATGATTAACGAATTCAGGGTTGGGTAGTTTATTTCCAGCCCGTACCCGCCCCGCTGCCATTCCTCCTTGGACATCACTTTACTATCATCAAAATGGAATTTCAGACATCTGTATTCTTCTCCAGTATTTCCAAGAGATCTTTTCTAGGGTTTCAGTCGCTAACTCTTCATTGTTGCTCTTTTCATGGTATACTATGTTCCATATGGCTAATTTCTTCTCTAATTTGGGTGTATTGACCTGTGATTCCTTTTATCTTTTTTTAATTCGATGTTATCTTATTTCTATTATAGATCGAACTCACAAAATCCACACTTCCATCTTTATGCTAGTCTATTTGTGTATGGCAATGTTAACTGAAGGACTGGTTACTGTTTTTTCTGTTTTTGTTAGAGATTTTTTTTGGCATAATGGAGTGATGGGTTGTACCTGCAATATCAATTTTGGGATCCCATTGCCATTGCTTTCCAATTAGTTTTTGGGTGCTAATTACTTCTCAGTTGTGGTTTTGCTCCTTTTTTTAATTATTATTATTATTATTGATTAATGGGATGAATCTAATTTTTGGCAATAATACTTCAGTGTTATTGTTACTGTCTGATGATATGAGAAGGTTTTCTATGTTTATATTAAGGAATGTTCAATTTTTGATTCATCATGTTGTGTGCAGTTAACTTTGATCCAAAATATTAACCAAGTTGTTAAAAGTTTACAAAATTCAATTTTTCATTAACCTGTACTCTTTAATAATTGCAAAAAGTTTGTCTGCTAGATATGCTGTCGGGATATCATAAAAGTATGGTAAATTGTGATTCAGTTTCACAGCTTTTCTAAAGGATAAATTTTCTGTGTAGTGCTACCTGATTCTTCTCTTTTATCTAGCACGCTCTTACACCGTCTCTCAATTGTAACCTCTACACTATTTTTCAAGAAGTGCCATCTTGTTGTTTTTAGGTAAATACCTTGTGGTGCTGCATCCGGGATTATAACAATTCCAGCATTTCTATTCCTTGTGCCTTGCTGTAACCTCGCAAAATTTATAATGGCCCAAGTTATTTTTTAGGTTTACTTTGTTCGACAACATGTTCTAGTTAGTGCTCTATGGATCCTTTCTTCTTTCCTCCTTCAGTGCCAACCATCCTAATTTCCTTAAGTTCTAGTGGATGGCCACTTAGGATTTACTGCTAAAATTCAATTGTTAACTTCAGGAATAAAAGGAATCCTAAAAGTCAGACAGCCATATGTGATATTCTGAGGTTCTTTGTGTTTATGTCAAATGATAATGAAAAGATCATCTCTATTGGTATTGACTCATTATTTATATGAAGACTTTGCGTTTTTGTAGTAAGTGTTAAATTGCATCATTTCAAGCATTTTGCCACGTACGTACATTTTCAAGTATTTTTCTTTTTTCCCAACATGTTGGGCTATATTTTAATTTAGTCAATTTGCAGGCCAAGAAGAGTTTAGCTTAGACAAGAGTAAATATCAAGAGCTGATTTTCTGATTGGAGAATATTAAATTAACTGTTGTGGTCTAAAATCTAAATACCTGTTTTTCTCCTTGGTAGAGAAATTTGGGCACATCTTTAATTTATTGATCTTTTAACCTATGAAACGAACAATAGAGAATGTGAAGTTGAGAAATGTTCCTTTGATTTGTACTATGTGTTTTTGAGCATTTGACAATGGTGAGTGAGGTGCTTCTTATAGCAGGTACTGTCTGCAATAAGTTGATCTTTTAGATGAACAATCGTCCAGAATATTGAAGTCAATCTTTGCCAAGCTTTTCTCTAATTTTAATGAATGGTTAATATATTTGTCATGATAAAATGATATGCTGCTGTTTAAACATGCATTCGGTGGAAAATCGAAGGAAAACACGATTAATGACAAAGAAGCAGTCTTCACTTCTAATTATTGTCAGTTTGGTTTCACTTTTGGCATTATTTTCAATTTTGAGATTGAATTCTTATTTCTTTAGGTTCGTTTCAATTTTGAGCACATAACAGAGAAACAGTTGATCGAAAGAGTTCCATAGAGCAATTACCAACGATTTTCAACACCATGAAAGAAGACTACGAGGTACATGATCAAATTTCATGCTTTAATTACCTCATTGTATTTATTTATTTGTTTTTCAAATTCTCTGTTGGGATCATTTCGTTTAGTTTATCTCCATGAAATTTCCAGCCATGAGAAAATCCCGATGTTGTTTCATAATTTCCTTTCTGTTTCATTTGTATGAATGGAATTGTATTCACTTGCCATTTTTGGCTTTCTAGATCATCTTGGCATCAATCTCCCCTTTTGGCTTTTGCCTTTAAAATTAGGTGTTGATTTTTGTTTTCTAATTCTATATAAATTGCTGAGGCTTTGCAATTTTGAAATCAAATTATGTTATTTTCAATTATGAAAACATTAATTACATAAATCAACAGCATATAGTATGGTAAATTTCAGCTTGAGCTACATGGATCACGGAATTGTTAGTTAGCCTGCAAGGGTTTATGGCCATATTAACGAAGCAGCATTATTTGAAAACTCAAATTAATGCAATTAGATAATGGGCCTACCCATTTTGAATACAGTATCTCTAATGTCTAGCAAGTTCAGTTTCCTTTTTTAGTAAATTCTATGCTTTTGGTGCAAGTTACATGTAGGAAGATGTGGGATTTCCTCAATGAGAATTTTCTATTTGATTATTTTTGTTATTAATTTCCATGTTCTTGTTCTATATGGAAGTTTTCTTTTACTGCTTGTTGTTGCTCATTTGGGGAAAAAAAGATAATAATGCATTGTTACAAATTTTCATTCTCAGCATATTGTTTATTGCAAAGCTTGTGGAGGTTTAATATTTTAAGAACAAAATGCTCACCAGACTGCCCTTAATTGGGTGGCATACCCAGGGACTAAGCTACTCATTCGAAGAGGGGGTCAATTGCCAAAGGAGGAAAAAAAAAATTGGTTTACATTTTCACATTTCGAACCCTAGTTTCTCCACTTTTTTCAAAGCACTCCAACCACTTTGCCCCCCTTCACTTATATGTCATATGGTTTGCCCCCTTCTATTTACATTCTGGCTTCGTCCCTACCCTGATCTTCAGCAGTGGGATGCCTGCTTTCAATTGCAGCTATTGCTTACTTGGATATATATAAGTGTGAAAAATAGGGTGTAATGGCAGGCCACTTGTGCATAGATTCTACTAATTGAATTGCTAATGTTATTGAGAAAGAAACCCATGTTCATGTGCTATTTGATCTTCATTACCTGTATTACTGCTAAATCTGATTGCTTTGCTAATTTAGCTCCTTATCAAGTTCTGTAAAAGTCGCGTCTTGTGGCGAGCTCCAGAGGGAGGGGGAGCTTTTACTTCTCAATTCAGTGTACCTTGATCTTGCAAACTCCTTTCTCTGGAGGCATTTTGTTTTCCCTGCTGTTTGCTTTCTTTATTCTCACTGTAATAGTCATGGATGTATGTGTTTACAGGTTGAAGAGAAAAAGCAAGCTGCTGCTGATGTATTGTTTCAGTATTCAAAATTTGTAATGGCATGCATTGGAAATCAAGTTCGACCTTGCGACTTGAGGTTACATTTAATGAAGGTAATAATTTGATACTAATTTCCGACAACCCACAAACAGAAATTATATGCACGGTCCATATACTTAAACTATTGGAGTTTCTCAGCTTGTTGGAAGTGAATCTAAATGGTAAAATTTAAATGAGAATCAACCCAAATTTAATGGATGTTAGTGAATTTCATTTTTTTAATTCTCCAGGAGATTTCAGGAGTTCCAACCTCTCTAAAGAGAGAATTGCCTCATGCAGCAGCTTCTCCTGATGCAATGGGTGAATCATCAAGCTCAGGTACTGCCAGACTTGATAAAGCAGATAGTTTTCGAGCACTGTAGGTAGAGGTAGAGTCATGGGTCATTTCCCATTCAGAACCATTGGCGTACTGCTGAGGCTAGTAAATTCTTCTTTGCTTTCCATTGTTAACTTGTGGGTTTGTAATTCCTTGTAATTGCCATAGAAGGATATTTTTAATGTGAAATATAAAAAATTTGCATATTTTTTTGAGCTGTATATATGATAGGACTATCTGTACAATTGCATCTAATATTTAGTTTCAAATGGCTATTTCCCTTCTATATCTTTTTGCTTAAAAGGGAGAGACCTGCTCTATCTGGTCTCCTAGAGCTGAGAGGCCACCCTAGATTAGCCAAATCTTTTAAACCCAAGCTCAAGGCCTTGGCTTAGGTAGAGTCTCTCGTGATTGTGTTAATATGAGCAACGATACTCTGACTAAATTATTAGAGTCTCGTGATAAAAGAGAGATTTTGCCATAGTTATTAGACTCTACGGATAGAGAGAAATTCTGATTCCATTAAGAAACACTAATACAGTCATTGTTTGGAGGTTGGACCGCACAGTTATTGGTGCATGTACATGTTACATGTCGTTTTGATGCCTTATTTCTCAAAAGAAACTTGTGACAGCCATAGTCATCAGGCCACAAATAAGCATCTATAGGAACTCCGGCAATCTGGACCCTCGCTCTCTCTCAAGGATAATATCTCTAATGCTGTAGAGAACAAAGAAAAAGCTGAGTAGAAGATAAAGCCATACAGCTAAAAGCCCGAACAGGAATCGGATGAAGCCTATCTGACAAGAAGTTGTGAAATCATAAAATAGAACATGAAGAACAGTGAAAGTAGAAAACTTGAACAGATTGAAAGGTACCTGATGAACAATGCGAACATCGGAGAGTCGTGAATCACTGACTAGCTATAAATCCTGCCATACCACTATAGCTCTGTAGGAATCAAATGTGGATTTGATGTCCTCAGAGTCGGACTAGCGAACGGAATATATTCACAGGCTCGTGCCTGAACAAAAAAAAAATGATCCAATTAGTAGAAGTAAAATTACAAAATCATAGAAAAAAAACTACCTCCCAAAGGAAATGGATCCCACCAATGGACGAGGCTGCAATGATTTTTTATATCCTTTTTTTCCATAGATACTAGAAATTGAGGCTAAACTTGTGACATTTTTTATTATACTACACACCATATCAATGTTCTTCAGAACTGTGAGAATGAAAGAAGAAGAAGTGTTTCGAAACAAGCAATCGGCTTGGTTAATTCCTCGTATAAGTTTAGGGTATATATATAATTATATAGTACAAAGTATATAATCTAAAAAGGAAAATAATCTTTTAGTATCTCATTATGACTGAATACCTGCACAATATACTGTAATAATTACAAGTTTCTAACAAGATGTGTTGAAAAAGGGCAGATGTATACAACCCTTCAACGAGATATTAGTTATCTTCATCATGTTAATTGATTCCTATATAAATAACGCTCACCGAGGGATATAAAATTTCCTTTTATATTGTTTAAATAATGGAGAACACATTAACGTTAGTTCAAGAATTCACAGTCTCATCATCATATGATACATGAAAAGTTTCGAATTACAATTTTTTTTTAAAAAAAAAAAAATTACAAGAGAAAAAGGCGATGATTCTGAATATGATGATGGTGTCAACATTCTATTTTAAACATTCCAATCAACCTGCATTAAACATGCTGTAATAATCTAACCACTAAATTAAAGCTCACCATCATATTATATATATATATATATATATAAAGAAGAATTATGCAGTGATTTGTTTATTGTTGACGTGACGCTCTCGTTAGAGAATTGAACTCTCTAAAAATTTGATTATTTGATTATAACTATATGAAAAATTAAAGATTTTGGAAAGAAAATAAGGCTCTTACCTCTCTCTTTAATTTATGATTTTTATGGATTTTACACATAATAGCTCTTTAAAAATTATTCTCTTATTTATGATTTTTATAACTTTTAAACACAATAACTTTTAATGTTCTCTTATTGTTTAACTTTTTTGTCTTTTTATTTTCCTTTACATACTATAGTAAGAGTGATGTCTCACTTTAGTTAGAATAAAAAATTTTAGTTTTACCTGATACATTTAGATCATATTATACATGCATTGTATGTACCGCAATTTTTTAACAAGCTACTTGATACACATATTTTACACCTTGAAAAAAAAAAGAAAGAAAGACTATATTGCTATGCTAAGTACGAAAGACTGTCTAATATATTATAAATTTCATATATACATATTGACACTTTTGAACTTGTCATATACTCTAAAAAATGTGTCTTATTATTTATTTTTCTAATTTTATTAATTTCAGGCATCACTTATTTATTTTTTTAATTTTATTAATTTCAGACATCACTTTGCAGATATTACTTCGACATTTTATTGATACTTTTGAATGAAAAGATACAATAAGTACATATATTAAACCAAGTATTTTACATAAATAAATTTTGTGGCACTCTTAATTTCTATTTTAAATTATTGAACACTTCAACTTATAAATTTGGATATATCAAACATTTTAACTTGCAATGACACTCCAACTTGTAAAATTATATTAGTTATACACAATAATGAAATATATAATGAATAGTATATTGAAGGATATTAGAATCATACATAAACTCTAACTAACAGATAAACTGGGATTCCTACTATCCTTATTCAACTATGATTATCTCTCTTCTACTATAAATATCCCCAATCAATTCTAGCAAAGACGAATTCACAACTCTCTCATTCACTCAATTTCTGATAAATTAACAATCGGTGCGGTGAGCGTACATACCTTCGATCCTCATTAACCTTAGTCTTTTTTCACCTTGGACACCATGGCTAATGAATCAGTCAAAGGCCATAACATGGAGGGTTAGGATAATGACTATGATGAGGTAGTTGAACACACAATAATACCTCCTCTGCAAACAACTGACCCTCAAGTGGCAGCAGCCCTAGCTCAAGTATACTACCAGTTCACCTTTGTGCTGAAATGCCTTCTCAAGGCCCCTCATTTAGGCAGCGAACTGACACCTGCAAGTGGTCTAACAAACCAACGCCACAAAGAGCACAGTACGCCTTTACCATCACCTAAACGACAACATCACCCAATGTTTGAACAATTCCATGAGGTGGAGTCAGAAGCAAATCTCAGTATGGTCACTCCCTATAGTCAAGAGCCGAGTCGCAGACAGCTAGTCATAAATAATGCCAATCTTTGAAACGTCGTCAACGACGTTCCCCCCAAAATTCAAAATTCTAACCTTCTAACGTTGTGACGGATCCACCAATCCCTAAAGTCACCTAGTGACTTTTTAAGCCATGATGTACTTACAAACTAACTCTGAAGATCTTATGTGCAAGGTCTTCCCAATCACACTCAAGGGGCAGCCCAAGAGTGGTATCAAACTCTCAAAACAGGATCCATCCAATCATTCTCCCAATTGGCCACGGCACTCTAAGCTCGGTTCATAATAAGTGTGCTGTCCAAGAAAATTTCATCTGACCTAGTAGACCTAGTAGACTTTGAGATAGTACGTCTCCAGATTTTAGAGAACGACAATGCAAGTTGAAAACCTGAACAATGAAGTGGCAATTAGTGCCATGGCAAAGAACTGTAAATATAAAAATTATTTGAGAGTTTGAGTATAGACTCTCTTGTAACTTTTGTCGAACTCATGGATTGAGTTTACAAATACATAAAGCTGGACGAAGTTTACGAAGCTCAACACCGAAGCTCACCCAAGGAAGAAAAGCCCAGGCATAGAAGACACCCGTCTCCAATCAGGAGACATTCGCCTAGGAGAAGATAGCTTCTCTGGCATCCACGAGCTAGCTATGCTGTTAGAGCACCCTATTCAAGAAAAGATATATCACAACAAGACCAAGAGTTCACCCCTTTGAACAAGCCACACTTAAAAATATTATCCTGGGTTAAGGATCACAAAAATAAAGTTCAACTCAATTATCCTAGAAAGATGAAAAAAGATACAATGGGCTATCGAGACAAGAATAGATACTGTGAATTTCACAGGGACACAGGCCATGATACCAAAGCTTGCTGGCAATTGAAAAAAGAGATTGAACGCCGAATACAGAGAGGCAAACTAAAAGAATTTATGGGACATGTTCGAAAAGAAACTAAGACGAAAGAAAAGAAGACAAGACAGTGCAACACTTTAGGCACAATTCACACAATATTTGGAGGCTCTTCAGGCAGGGAAAATAACTCGGTTAGGAAAAGAAGGGTTACGGAAATTTATTCTGTACTCCGCCAACCAAAGTTGGTTACAAGACCACCAATCCTATTCTCTGAGGCAGATAGAGAACATGTGCATACCCCACACAATGATGCTTTGGTAATAGAAGGGGTCCTAGAAAACTTCTTGGTAAAAAGGATCCTGGTAGATGAGAGTAGTGCGGTTAACTTGTTGACTATGGGGTTTTCAAAGCCTTAAAATTAGACCAAATAAAGTTGAAACCTATCCGAACCCCTCTGGCCGGACTTGCTGGGAAGCCAGTCCCTATCGCCGGATCTATAGATGTGACATTAGAGCTCGGAGTAGATGGTACCTTAAGAAGGTTCAAGTTAAAATTCATAGTAGCAGACATCCACTTTCCATACAATGTCATCTTGTGCAAACCTGCCTAATACGAGTTGGAGACGGTATCATGCATCAAGTACCTGACTTCATCCTCACAGTTTTTCCTTCTACCTGGTTTTTTCTTGTACTCTAGTTGTGGATGGCTCATCAACATTAGGCCACATGTCTTCTCCATTCAAAGGGATAAGTCTATATTGGTATGTCTTCATGTAACAATCTTTCTTCAAGTAATCATCCACATAGTCTAATACTTCATATCTCATGTTGTGAATGTATGAAATGGCATGACTGCAAGCAACTCCAAACTACAGAAGCAATTCCTTTATGAGAGGGAAACCAAAAAGGAATTTTCATCATCTTTGACTTGGAAGGTATCACCATTAGAACTACTTGGTAAACATTGTGAATTTTCCATCTTGGTACTTTCTATTTTTTTTCCTTATTCTTCCTCCAACCCCATCTTTCCATTTCTCAATATGTGTCTTGTTGAAGTAGTTTCTTATCATTAAGGATGTACTTATTTTTTTCTAACATCATGATCAAATGCATAGTCCTTGCTTCAGCAATGTATCCATTAAAGGTCTCCACAATGTTGCTTA